TTGTTAGTCTTTGAAAAATTACCTCGTGCTTATTTATTCCAAATTGCACTTGAAATCATGTGATTACCTATACAAAATAATTGCAATCCACTCAGTTCAATTACCATTATTCATCATATTTGGTTCAGTTCTTGAGCTAACAAACCCAAAAATAATTCCATTAGTGAACAGTTTGATTAAAATAAGGGTGACTGGGAGAAAAAAAACTCCATGACAATTTTTTGGGAGCCCTTTGGGCTCCAGTCTTTAAAAGTTAGCAGCCCAGGCCAATTGTTTTCTTTGGAGCCCAGTTGGGAACGAAAGATCTAATTAGGTGCCCATCCAGGTAACCAGAACAACATTTTAGTTGCCTAATATCTGGTAAGTGAGGCGCCTCAGGCTACTGCATTAAGTACCATTTAGGCAGCAGCCTTGTTTTTATTCTACTATTCGGTAAAAATGGATAGTGCTTAGATTACAACGTCGGACAAACAGGATTATCTCAAATATTTGACTTATAAAACCATTGAGAGTCAGGCAACACAATAGGCGATTCCGTAACGGACCGCTAAAAGAATATGCTAAAAGAGGCAAAGTAAACATTATATATTTTGGGGATTTTTGCTAGCCATTTCCATGGCGAAAATCGCTATTGCGATCGGCGTGGATCGGCGTGTAAAAAGTAAGAAAAGTATGTCGCCACCTTTACAAGTAATTAAGTGTTTCTACCATAGGCTTATATTCGTCAAACCTTCAGATATCGACGCAAGACAAACCTTTGCAAGTTTCCTCTTATTACCAACAGTCTCATCACGGCTATCAGCTACATGAACAAGTGTGCGTAAAATTAATTAAGGTATTCAAGCTTACATAAATATGAATAATTCATAAGAGGATATATTGAAAAATTCACGTGCAATATGGGTATTTAAAAACTAAAGAATGGAGAAGTTTTAAAATTATTAAGCCACATAGGAAATGTTTATTACTTAAGATTATGAAATAATCAGAAATAAAGGCTGCTATCAATAGTAAAGTACCTCACCCGCATTGGGACTATCACCAGGTTCCACCATTTTCGAAATCCCTTGACGACAATATGGGCACCAGTCTAACCCGAGCACACCACTTGGCGGGATTATCGATATCTGTTAATTTGTTGTCATTTGGCAATTACTGCTATCAGTTAATTTGGACTGTTAAGGACATTAGCCAGAAGGCTCATTTTTTGATTGATTATTGATTAGTTCACTAATTTCAGAATGATCTTAGATAGCCACATAGTTACAATGCTTATCTGTTTTTCTGTATTTCTATTGGTTTTGTAATCGGACCTTTCAGCGTCACCACGCGCATATAAAAGGCAATTTTAGCGTCCCTTTAATCAGTTCTTCGTAAGTTTTGAATAGCCTTGGTAAACTTTCGCCCTTTCGTTTTCTCAACCTCTGGCACAAGCGGGACCGATATGTGAGTACCTTTGTAACTTTGTTTTTCCNAAACTCTTTTAATTTGTTTCCAAACTTTTGTTCTGTTTCACTTGTATTGTTAATCTCGTTATAGACTTTAGAGCCCAGTATTTAACATGCGATTCTTTGATCATGTATTCCGCGGCTTTTCGTTAGATTGATAGAACTTCGTTGTATTGTTGTTTCAGTTTACGATCGATCGTTCGATAGATTGATTGACTGTCAGAATAATCGTTATTTTCGTCATTGATTGTGGTTCGTGGTCGATTGCTTTTCAAGAATAAAGATTCGTGCAAACAGTCAACTTTGGGTTGTCATTTCGATCAGTAAAATAGTCCCAAACACCTC